TCAACATTTTCTTCTGTTCTACAAGCACAAAAGAAACCCTATACTGTGTACTATATGTAAGAGATCCGACTTATCCCTTTTACTTCATCATTAGTCCTATTGTTAAAATGTATGATATCGATGAGAATGTTACCTTTGAAATACAACTACGATTACAACAAATTCATAAAATTGCTAATGAACACTCTAAAAAGGAAAGAATATATGTAAATGAAACTCAAATCTCCTTTGGATTAAAGAGAAAATTGGCCATATGAAAATGACTTTTTTCGAATTATAGAAGAAACTAGCTCTGTTGATTTCAAGGTCGAGCATATTACAATAAAACAGAAAACGGAATAATCGATTAAATCGAACAATAGTTCCAATTTGAATATATACTAAGTTTTAAAAAAGCCATGGAGAAACCCAGAGATGAGAAACCTTCCCATTCAAACCTACAGAGAAATTAACTTCATTTAGACCGTAGTATAGATTTATTTTTGACTCATTGCAACCATAGTTGGCCAATAAAAGAATAGTATCACAAATGTTAGAAAAACAAAATTTTTATTCTTATTTCTTAAAAATTATAGATAACTAGCTTACCCGTCGCGCATTGCTGCGATCTCAGAAGAAACGAAATTCAAGCAAACTCGTTATGATAAAATTAAATTTACATTTTATCATTTTTATTGAAACTTATTATTATTACATTATTATTATTCATTTTCATCGGAAAAACATTTCAAAGTTTAGTTTCAATTCTATTTATTTATTGGAGTGTTTGTGGATACACAATATTTTTTTGTTTTTCCGTCTGGTGGGTACACGAATAAATCAGAAGGTTTTCCAACGCGTGAGCTGGCCATATACAGTTGTCCATGCGAGAAGCACGGATTCTCCAAATTTAGCCCCTACACTTGCAGCGATTGTCAGAAGTGCGATATTCCCCATTTTTATATATATATTTTAATCCTTTATAATTTTAACTATTTAATTGCTCCTTCCTCTCTTCCTTGGCATGTGAAATTTCTGATAGTTGGATAATAAACCGTTTTATTGTAATTTGTGTTTTTAAATTATTTTGAGTCGATATTAAAATTTGGAAAAGGGGGATACCTAGATCGATAAAATAGGCGAATTTCCTCCTACAACTTCGGTTGTTGTTCGGGGTACAGTTAAGGTTTTAACAAAGTTCGAGCGAATACATAATTAACAAAAAAAAAGTTGAAATAAAGTGATTAAACAAAAATTATTACAAATATCGTAAATAACAGTTTACAAATGCATATACAGGTAACCCCCGTATAACACGGTAGTTACGTTCCAAAAAATTGCCGTGTTATGAGAATCCGTGTTATACGAAACAAAGAACTAATACGAAAAGGAGGGTTAGGTTCCAAAAATTAAAAAACATGCTAGTATACTTTCATAATTAAGATAAATATCTTCATTAAAATTTTTTAAATGATACATATTAATATAAATTAAACAATGTTTTCTTCGTCATCACTAAAAACACTATTAATTAACCGAGAGCGTTTTCTTTTTGGCAAGTTATCCTTATCCTCTGAGCATTTTTCTGCATTATCTTCAGATCCATGCTTTACCTTTTGCAAAATGTATGTAATTTTAGATTGCTTGCTTCTAGTTAAAAGGTCTTTATAAATTTCCTTATATGGTGCTAAGCACTTATGAAGAATAAAGCAAGTATGGAATAAGGGAAAAACATTCGGCAACATCAGAAGCAGAAGCGTCGCGATCTGGCAACATTGAAACAAGTTTCGAGAAGGACCACGTGTATCGACAAAGGAGAGATGAGAAGAGAAAAAGAAAGGGGAGAAGAGAAAATTTACATACTAATAGTTCACGAAAATAATAATTTTCGTGAACTATTATTACTTAAGTATGTAAAACTTTATTACATTTCCTGTTGTACGAGGGTTTTACCCAAATTTCGAACCGTGTCAGAGTAAATCCGTGCTATAAAAGTACCGTGTTATACGGGGGATGGTACCAATTCTCGAACCGTGTTAGAGTGAATCCGTGCTATAGAAGTACCGTGTTATACGGAGGTTACCTGTATAGAGATATTTTTTGAAGGGGGAAATGGTCTTCACAATTTGAAATCGATCGCGCACACAGTGAAATGCTCGAATACACGCGCGCCATCTATCGTAGGATAAATGTACTATGCCAGAAACCTTCGCGGGAGTGTATTAAACACTTCCTAAAGCTTAATGGCTATCGTAGCCATTAAGCTTTGCCAGAAACCTTCGCGGGAGTATATTAAACAACTTCCCAAAGTTACATGGCAATCGGATAAACGGTGTGGTAATGCATGAAGGACAGACACACAGACATACATTCATTTTTATATATATAGACAATGTCAGCTATATCAAAGAGAATTGAAAACATATCATATTTTATTTGCATAATTACAATGTTACAAAGTTCTGTAAAAATTCTCACGGTCTCGGATACTATGATTAAGGCATATCCATTTGAAAACGCAGATAATATATTATTAAACAATGGTAAAACAGATTTTTTGATTTGTTTAGAATTATACAAAAAAACTATTTACATTTCAATTATTTTAAAAAACATTAACTTGCCGATTACTTAAGTAATTTTACTTAAATAACCGATACAGAACAAGTTAAGGAAAACATCGACAAAAGAAATTAAGACATGTCTTTGCTTTGATTTTAATGCATAATGATTGAATATTTATAAGGATAGTTAAAATTTCCTGAGTTTCCTTGATCACGTAATGAATTTCACTGGCATCAATTTCCCCTTCATTTACAATATTTGCCAAAGTACTCTCGCTTAGAACATAAAAACCTCAGTTTAAGCAACAGAAATAATTTAAAGAATGACTGATTTCACTGTTCCTTTTCCTTTAAATTTAACAATTATGACATGTAAATAAGCTTCTTCAATGAAACTGTGAAACTACTTCACAGTAAGGGGTTTCGTACCCACTCGCTCACACCACAGTCTTCTCTCATTTGTTCCCAATATAAATTATTTATAATTAAAAATATTGTGATGTGATTTTTTGTGACAGAAAATGTCCTTAATTATTTTAAATTTGTACTTCCAGGTAGAATAATTTTTCATCGAGAATAAGTTTTTGAGTCAAAAAATTTATGAGTTTCATAAGACAAAATAATTTTTCCTTTATTAATAATTTGAGTAAAGTCTCATTTAAATACTGTAAATATTTTTTTTAATTTCAATATATAGTAAATAGATTTTTGAATTGACTTTACATATTTAATTACTGCTAGAAAACTGCAACCGTAAAAATTTGAAGCTAGTATACGATTTTTGGGCTTACCAATAACTAGAAGGAATGACATTTGACAAAACATAGCATCTAAATTGGGCCAATCTCTTACTATACATAGAGGACGTTTGCGCGAGAGATGGCCTTCTCGCGCAAATGCACTCTATGAGGTTTAAAGTTACACTATTTACAAACTTACAAACATAATGAAAAATAGCTATAAGGAAGCTCGCTAATATATTCCTTCATTCCTTACTGAATTGAAATTTATGAATAGTTTTGTAGAATCTTGCGTATAAACAATGTAATAACTTTTATAATTCTCAATATACGAATTTTCATTTCATTTTAATCCGTTAAAATAGGCAATTCTTTAGAATTTATTACCATTTTTACGTAAAAACGTGATGTAAAATATCAAATAGATAAGAAAAGTAACAAATAATAAAGTATTGAAACGGTTTAAACAGAAAAGTAACTCAGGAAGACATTCCCATGAAATGTGTCCGATTTTTTCCGGACACATTGCAAGGGAATTCTGAAAAAAGTGATGGAAACAGTTTTGAAGGAAAAATGAAGAACTGATTTTTTGATTTCCAGAAGAGGTATAAAAATAAAATGAAGAACAAAGTATATGTGAAGATGATATAAAATAATGGACAGAGTCTCAATGAGCGGGCAGAGAAACCTTTGAACAGAGATAAAAAAAATTCCAGAAACGAGTTGCTTAACTTTTCCGGCAACATTTAAAACTGTATGTGGCGCCAATTGTTATGATATTTTATTATTAAAATTTTTTTTATATTTTTAACTATTATAGGCCTAAAATGTTAAAATTTCATTTTCAGGGTAGGATGGATTTTATTTAAAAAATTATAAAATCTAATAACAAGTAAAATCGTCATTAAGTCCGACCCTACTCGAGTATAATAATAAGTCCGACACACGATCCTCCTTTATTTCCATACCCTCGACCTTTAACCACCAAAATTTAATAGCATCGGTACTCCTAATATACAAACTTCCCGGTAAAATTTCACAAATTTTCAATAAAAGGCACAGGAGTTATTAAGCTTCAAAGTGGATGGGCAAAATCGTGTCACCCCACATATACAGTAGAGCCTCGATTATCCGACTCAATTGGGGACTGGGGTTGGTCGGATAATTGAAAAGTCGGATAACCGAAAAGTATGAAAGAATCCATTATTAGTGTAGTATATTATTATATCCCATGTAATTAGTACATTAGTATATCGCTATTAACCTACTTCGCGTTAAATTTTCATCGATGTTAAGCCTAACAAAAATTTTTTAAAATAATAATCGTCGCTATTGTATCGTTAAAAATTAGAAAATTAAGCCTCGTTTAAATACTGACTCCCTTTCATGGTCGAATGAGTGTTGCCAGCTAAAACACTTAAAAATAATATTATAGTAGTCAAGACATAGCCAAATATTGTAGCACCACATCACTAGCGGACATTTGAAATTTGCCGACTAGGACGGTCGGTTAACCGAGGTGTCGGTTAATCGGGGGTCGGATAATCGAGGCTCTACTGTACTAACATTAAGGTCTCCTGAGTCCAAAAATATATAAATTTAGGTGGTTATTTTGTGACCGCTTACCCTGCTTTTCATCTTGTATATATAACAGAGTCGGGAGCGGTGAAAGATAAATCTTGTTTTTAATTGAGTTAAAAATTTTCGTATTGATTTTAAGTAAATATATTTATTCGGAAATTTGATCAGTAAATTTAGAAAATTACAGTATATATCGTACATATAATACATTATACAATATTTAGTAAATACAATAACATTAAGTAATTCGAATTCATAAAACAATATTTTTGTATTAATTTTTATATTCGTAAATAGGATATTTACATTCATATGCTATTTATTTAAGATAGCAAATATATCTGTCACGTGTTTCAGTTCCTTGTCAATCGGATCAATAATGCTATCACGGTAACATTGAATTCCTGCTAAATTGGCTTGGTAAAAGCAGTCTTTTCCCTGAAAAATTTTGAAGATATTAACATTAAAAGTTTTATAAATAATGTAAATTCAGAAAAACGGAGTAGATGGCAGGGCAATTAAGGTATTGGTCTTCTACTCTGGGGATCCTGGGGTCGAATCCTGACAAATTGAAAATCCCATAAATTTTTCGGAGATAATCTGTCCGGATATGTTTGGTCTCATCCCTCCCTTCCTGGTCGAACTTGTGGGCTTGCTAAATAGAAGTTCTCTTAGTGTCCATAAAGCAAAAGAAATTTTTAAAAAATATAGAAGACAATTCAAAGTCCTCTTTCGACTGTATCATTTCATTTTTCTTCAAGAAATCTGCTTCTATTCAAATATTATATACAAATGATAGAGTGAGTGAATTAGTCGAGTGAAAGCATACAGCTTTATTTTTCTTGATGTATTCAATATGGAGTCATATATCATAAATCTAAACATGCCACAATTTATTATATCTTGTTCAGATTATACATAAACGCAGTTTTGCGTTGAAACGAAGCAATAACCCTGTCTAATTTTTTATTCAATTTATAATACTAATGAGATTTTATGTTAAAAACTAATGTTTTATATGATTTTTATACTTTCTCTTCTATTAAATTTTCTGGAAAAAATCTAAGGTAATATATTAAATACAGAATAAGGAAAATAAATTTAAAGGAATTTTTATTTATTTTGAAAATACATACTTTGTTTAAATCGTGCTCAAGCAGGTAAAACATTCCAGCTGAATGGAAGGAAGAGAACATGAGTTTAAGAAAAACAGATGAATTGTTATCTCCACTCAATTCATAGCACCATTCTGCCAACATTAACGTCATTCTAAAACCTTCCACAATTTGGCAATGATCTTTAAAAAATATATATAACTTCGATGAATTTATAAATTAAGTGTTAATTAAATACAGTCAAATAGCGTAACCTAAATAGCGCCACCCTCTAAAACGTCACTGAGTAGCCTATTTGTGTGAATGGATCATCCACATAAATATTAAACAGCAAATCATTAATATCTGTGAATTACTAAATGTGCGATTTTGCATTTGGGCAAATTATCATCAAATTATGTGACTTCCAAATATTAAAATTCAAATTTGTATAGACTTATTATTATATATAGACTACAGTAATTCTTATTGTTTTCAATACATTAGTTCAGACCCACATTCGATTTAGTGCCAGTATCAAAGATTAACAAATGGTAGCTCTAAATCGAAGTTTGGCTGTATTTATCCTAGAAGGCGTATAAAGCAGTAAAGGTGTAGTAAAGGTGTGTCAATTGTTTACTGCTCTTTTTTTAACTCTTTCCGCTCTGTAGGCATTAAGACGGCTTCTTTATAGCCCATAATGGGGCACCAGTTGGTGAGGGACGAGGGCTAACATATCCGAATTCGATCCCGGGTCCCCCAAAGCAGTAGGCTGCCACCTTGACCACTCGGCTATTCGGCCCGTTTACTGCTCTATAGTTCTACTAGGATCTGCCGCCGGTGGTTCATAATAATGCCCAACGCGTCCGAGAGTAAATATTTGTAGAAAAAAATCAAAAAATAATAGGTAATGAGTATTTATTGAGATGAAAATCATTTATATACAACTAGCTGCAAGGACCCGCTTCGCTGGGTTTTTATTTTTATGTAATATAGTTTTTTTATATATATATAAAAGACTGTTTTTCTAAGTAATCTAGAATCTAGCAGCAAGGACCCGCTTCGCTGGGCAAAAAGTAACGATAGTGAAGATTAAGATAATTACATTATAGCCAATCTTACCCGTTTTCACAAAATGCAAGAATTAGGTCCCCCGTTTCCAGACTAATTAGAGAATTTTTACGTCCAGTCAAACGAACTATTTTCAACGTTTCTGGAACGTTTACAAT